TCCAGCAAATCAACAATCACACCCTCACCATAGTTTAACATATTTCAGAAGCCTAAATTTTGGTGTAATCCAAAGAAACTTGTACAATGATTTGTCTGTACTCACAATAGCCTTTGAGGTCTTTTGAAAATAAAACCCAACTTTTTTTCCAATGTCTTTACTTCATTTGGTGATATTCTAGTGGCAAAATCATTGAATACATTTCCATAGGAATATATTATGCATGAGGACATATTAGATAAAAGTGTAGGAAGATATTGAATAATGAAAACTCTTCTAGCTTGAGGCATGCCTATGGCACTGTTTCCAACAAAAAGTGAGTATTGATGCTAATCATGTATTTTTTTCATGTGACTCTCATGAAAAATATAGATTTCTGAATTACTGAATTGTACATAATATCATTTAAAACCTCGGATTATATTCAGTTCGCATTTACCTCTGCTAAATCTTTCACATATGATAAAAAATGTATAGATATCATATTTTTATCAAATAGTAGAAAGCACTGAGACAATAGTCTTTAACATTCAATAGACGTGACATTATCGATTCAAGCCTTCAAAATTTTCATTACAAAATTAGCATAAAAGCGCAAGATATAGAAAGCAAAGCAACAACCAAAAGAGGCAAAAATAAGCTACTTACCAAGCACCCCAGAGACCACTATTCACATCTTTCTGGTACCTAGTAAGAGCAGTTTGGTTACCAAAGAGAACAGCTAAAAAGTTATCCACATTAACATCATCTCTAGTGTAATCCTTCCACAAGAGATAGCACATGAGACAGGTTAACAGTTTAGTTATATACTAAACGATGACGAAAAACATCTGCCTTAGGAACTCCTTTGTAAACATCCTCACCAGTAGGACTATTAATGATAACTTGTAAGCAATGCCATCATATATGAAAGACAATAATATTCTCATCCTTGAGACCACCTTTTATTAATAGCTGACATGCATCACATACATCAGCCTGATATAAAAGCATAGGTCGACAAGGCTTATCAGTAAGCATAAGAGAAAAGAAAAAATAATTAAAAAACTCCATAATAATTGATCTATCAAAAAGAAGGAAAATGTTGTCTTACCTAAACTTTCTACAAACTGATTTGTTTTTAACTGGTTGATTGTCTTAATTGATGAGTTTCACAAGCATGGAAAGCTACCAACAAGCTTATATTTGTAAAATCGTAGTGCAAAAAAAATCACAGACATTATTGAATTCATCTATAGTTAGAAAAAAAGAAAAATCACACACAATAATGAACCAGATGCAGCTACCAAATACATATCTTCAAATTCCAACATTACTAAAACGGACTCATGAACAAAACAACTACAACTCTCCTAAAACTACTTAATATTACTTTCCAGTAATTAGTAGCACTCCTAAAATAGGGAGAACTTCTATTTGGTAAGGTAAAAGACAGCAACATGGCTTTTTAATGGTTTAGTACTTGAAGGAACATATCTTTAAAAAGAACAAAAATTAAATCATATAAGCTAACATCAATAATTTAATATGTGAATCAATGAAATAGTACAGTGAAAATATCAATAATGGAATTACATGAACATTGAGATGCCTTTGAAAGAAAAAAAAAACAATCCTCTGTATCTTTAGGACAAAGGAAATTATTCACACCCTCAACATGAGTATCCATTTTATAATTTGCAGGTGACTATTCATGTATGCCCACAACATTTATCAACACAATTCCCAAAATATAATCAAATTGGAATAAACACCTACCACAAAATGCTAAATTGTACGTCAACTATCCCAGCTGTGGTATATTGTAGGCCAAGTGCTTTAGAAAAATATATGAGAACTATGTAACAACTATAGTGCTTTACAATAGAATGAATTATTGTACCCAAGCAATGAATTGATAGAAATTAAAAGTCCACATATCTTACTATCTTTTTCTAATTGATAATTTTTTTTTCCTTATTAATAAATAAAAAACAGAATTTTATATAGTCTCTCATAAATTCTTATGCTAGAATATTCAACAATCTGGCTCCATGATGGTAAACAGTTGTAATTTTCACTAACACAAGAAAGGAAAGACGCAGTCTATACAATCTCTCAATATTTACAAGTCCTCTAGATTTCATTTGTCATAGTGTTTGTTGTTGGAGAAATCAAATGCACAAAAAAAGACCAATAAACAACAACAACAATTACATATCCAATGAAATTCCACACAAAAAAATGAATAAATTATAAATAAAAAAATGACGAAGAAATTTTTTGCGGACATCAAAGAAAAATGTGCCAAAGTTCAATTCACAAGAGAACCAATTTGGAGCAAATAACGTGAAACTACTTACTTTTAGCTGAAAGAATTAGTAAAATGGAAAGAAATTGAACCAATATAAATTAAAACTTACATACCATATGTACATGAGTACCACAAAAAGAAACAAGAGTATTAAATTTGTGTGTAAATTTATAATCAGTACCTTCAAACTAACAGAATGAACAATTTGAATAATTTAGAGTAATACACGAAAATAATTCAACCATCCAAAGAAAACTATAATGGCACAGGCTAAACAAACATTTTCAAGAAAAATAATAATTTCCTATTGGAATATGAGCGACTGCAATTGAACCTATAAGATTGGAGTGAATGAAAGCAATAGGCACTACTCTTACCTGTGACTATGCATGTAACTAATATATGTTGTAACATTTTCAAGAGAAGCATTACCACAAAATTTAGAGATAAATGGCAATGTGAGAAAAGAGATACCAACTTCTTAATACAAATATTCACCTTCTATTATAGTAGTCACTGCAACAGTTACGAAAAAACTTATATCTCAATCATGGTGCTTGAATAAAGCAATAATCATCATCAAATTCCGAGGTTTCACAATTGAATAGTGTATAGATTACACATCAAGATCAACTGAAGAGTAAAAATAGAAAAATGTGTATTTACCTATAACTAAGATAATCTGTGTTAATATGTTAAGTTGAGTTAAGGAAGAAAATATATACGTGCAATTTCAATAATTTCATAGAGCATTGAAGAGTTTCTTTGTCTCTCATCTTGTTTATAAGAGACTCTTGGGAAGAACATCAAAGTTAATTCAGCGGTAAAAGCATATACACATCTTTTATAATATTATATCGGTTCTGCAACTCTTATTTTTGGTCTCAAATTTATAGAATACACTAATAGATTAAAAGTGCAGAAAATCAGCCTACATGAGATGATTTCGCATTGTTACAACTCCTCAATTAAAAGATTTCTATGCTTAAACACCAAAAGTAAATTTGAGTATTTCGAAAATTATCTTTACAATCCAAAAAGAAAAGCAATTTGAAAATGTAAAGAAAACCAAAAAGGAGGGGAAAAAAGAACATGAGCAAACGTAAAGTTGTAACATGCAAAATAATCCAAAACTTTTCAAATACAGACATTTCAACCTAGAATAAGATTAATATTTATACTGATTAAACATTGATGTTACCGATTTTTTCTTTTTTTTTTCATAGAAAAATCTACCACTTTATTACCTTAGTTATTAAGATTCAGCCATGAAATATAGATTTTTGATGAATATTAAACAAAAATTAAAAGAAATTTGATGAAGATTATATAACAATTGGTGGAGAAGAGCAACGAAATCGATTAAGAACTTACCCGACATTGGAAAACCCATAAGCGTAGATGAAAATTCAAACAGAGACTGATCTGCATGGTAGAATAGTCGATCAGAAGATGAAACCAAGGATTTATTTTATTTGTCTAAGTGAAAAACACATAACTTATAAGAAGATAAGCAAAAAAATTAACAAAATTAGATGAAGTTTAAAGAAAAATTGACAGAAGAATTTAAAAAATGATGAAGAATTTATCTGTGATTGAAACTCTAGAAGAATATAGATGAAATACAAGTAGCAATTTGACATGCAAGATTAGTGAAACTTTTATCTATACATTTTTTTAGGCTTTCAAGAATGGTCTCTTAGTCTTCATCATCTCAAGAACTTTTTGATTTTCTTCATCTTCACATTGGTTACATTTCAGTCTTCAGTCTATTCAAATTCTTTATTCGTTTTTCCGTCTGCTTTTAGTATAGATAAAGTTCACTGAGCTTGCATACCTTTTTTTTACGTATGGATGTTTCTAGACATATGTTGTCGTGTCTGTGTTGGGAAGTCTCTGATATTTTCTTAGCCGAGCAAACACGTATGATTCTAGAAATTGGATATAGTGGAAAATTACCAAAATAGCCTTGATCGTCCTAAAATAAGTGATATCTTTCGAATTTTGAGATTAAAATAAGTTATTTTTTATCATAATTTTTCATATACTTTTTAAATATATTGAAGTATCAATTATTGTGACTTATAATACTTTTACGTAGTTTTCAAATATGAAATTTTTATTCCAAAAAACTCAAAGATTTTATGTCCAAAAATTTACGATCAAAATTAAATTATTTGATTTTCAAAATTTAAACGGTGCCACATAAATTGAGACTCTTGCAAATGTTTACAAATATTATATTCATAAAATAAAGATGAAGAAAATTGAAAGAAGCTACAGATGCCAAAAAACAGTTTTTACTCAATTCTTTCAATTATCTTCCTGCATTGTTTCTTTGGAAAGTTTACAAGTAAGAGGGATGGTTCTAGAGTAATGCAGAGAGTGTATTTATTAGTGTAAATTTACATTTTTATATTGGTTGTTCTAATCAACATATTTTCTACATAGTAACAAAAGAAAGAATAAGAAAAACAAAAAATATCTAAAGTGAAAAGAAAGGAGTGCTTCTAATTTTCTTAAAAAACAGCTGTATTACATTTTACCCTTAAAAATGAGTATAATTACGGTATTGCCAGTGGTCGTCCTCTCATCACGTTTCTATATAATAGATAGACTAGATGGATATAGCCCGTGCTTACACGGGCCCAACATTTAGCATTTTCAAGTGGTATGTACTTTGCATAGTTACTCGGATAAGAGTATATATTGTAAAAGCTAATAGATCATTGCATAAGTTATACAAATGAACTTCAAAGTGCAATAATACAACTAATTTCTCCCTTTCCACAAATAACTTTACATTGCAGACAACTATCTTCTAAATACTTTTCAATATTTATCATAAGAAAATAGAAGTGGATAGACTTACATAGAGCTAATCATAGAATATGACAAAATTCATTTTACAAAATCTAGTGATGCCTTGAATCATTAGTAGTAAATTTGAGTAGATGCTCTCTGTATTTTTCAAAAGAATAGAAGTTGGTATCCTTAAATGGAGCTGCATGTAGAGTAATAAAATTCCGTTTCATAAATCCATTGATGCCTCGAGTGTTTGCAATTGTCTTGATAAGATGCAAAATTTCCTTCACTCAGCACGAACTATATACTCCAGCTTTAATATCTCAAGGAAAGGAATAAAAGTTCCGAAATAACAACTGTTCATAAAAATAGTAGCACTTAAAGCAAAAGTAAAAATAAAATAGTGAAGACAATCACAAAGAACCAGCATATTACAAGTTATATGTCAATTTAAAATAAAATACTGAAGATAACCACAAAGAATTAACATATACCAAGTTATATGTGAATTTGAAAGGAACAACCTTCACTCAATGCCCTAAGGAAATAGATTCAAGAAAGTATTCCTGTCATTCACATTGCAAAATTCAAAATCACAATCATGGAAGAATCCTCTTAGCACATAGAATATTGAAACATGTCTGGCTCATATGAGAAGAGTCTTGCGCTATATTTCAATATTTACTGTTAAAACATCTTGCACGTATATAAGTATATTTGTGCATAAATATTTCTGAGAAGGAAGATATATTTTTTTGCTAACCTT